GCGAGCTGCGGAGCAGCTTCGTACCCAGGCTGGGCTCGCTCATCAGCCGAAAGACCTTCTCGTCCAGGCCAGCCTTACAGGGCAGGCAAGCCAAACCTGCACTTTACAGAGTTCCTTTTAGGACCCGAGGGACTTTCCGGAGTCACTAATAACTGAAGTACCGATAAGTCCATGAAAGTTATGGATCTCTAGTATTTAAAATTGGAAAAAGCTCTTAAATTGTGAGGGAGGTGTGGTCGTAAAGTCTGTTCGTAGATTGGTTGCTTGGCAGTAGGAACTCATTTATTCAAAGATGAAATGTAAACGTGCTTGGTCGTCAGGCTGGCCCACAAACTATGGGTTAGGATGCCACACTCTAGCAAGGAAGGGGCAGCAGTGCGCACATTTGGTAGAAGTTCCTTGTTAATTTTTTGGGGGGGGGGGCAGACAAGGCCCGAGAGGACTGGCTCACAAGTGGACACTCAGTACAACAAAGAAGTAACAGCAGAGCACACTCCCATATTTCGCTAAGCCACAAGAAGTTTCCAAAAGGGATGGTATGTTCCCATGTGCTTATGATGTCTGAAAGCTCAAATAATTAAAGTCATCTTGTCTTATGAAGGTCTGCTGAGAAGTTGGGATGACTACTGAGAACTGCCATTTCTGCTCTGCACCACTGATGCATTCTTTCCACAAGGGCTGAGCAACTGCTGTCGGGGAACAGGTAACGGCCTCCCTGCTCTGGGGAAACCGCCATTCTGACCTAGGTCTCCTTTTAATCGTGTGACACTGCATGCGGCTTTCCTTCCCCGTGCGCTTTGCCAGAGGGGGACTGCAGAGCACAAGGGGCCCAGACAGGCTGGGGCTGTGGGGGCGGGGCCGTGTGTCCATGCCAGGATGCCACAGGCTCCCCCGCTAGCTCTGTGCAGCCAAGCACACATTTGTCCCCTACAGGTGATGTCTGTTTGCTTTGCAAATCATTAGAACTGGGCTATAATAACATTTCTTTTCTTAGGATCCCATCACTTTAAATAACTAATAGTGATAATTCGGTTACACAATGTTTTTCATTCTCTTTCCCATCCCCCCCCTTTTTTAAATGGGAATATTTTGAAGACAGAGACAGGGATGTAGGATGACTTACATGCATTAAGCCTTCTATTCTCAAAAGAGAATAAGAGACGGAAGAGACATGACAGGGAAAAATGAGAAAGCAAGAATTTCTTCCTGTGCTGCCTCCTACTTCTTGTGCCATCACTTGGGGTGACACTGGCTTCACTGGTTAAGTGAAGAGGGCATTCCGTCCACAGGACTCCAATTTGCCTACATTAATCTCTTCTTAAGTCACAGCTGTGGCTCTGGGAAATAATTCAGCAGGTCAATAAAATGCTGGACTGCACCACTCAGGGAAGCTATGGCGTTCGACTACTTCTATATTGTAGAAGAGAATGAGCACCTATTTGGCTTGGAGGATTCAGTTTTTCACTTGCCTGATTCCCTAAGGACCGGCCCCGCTCTACAGTCTTATTTTTGGCGGTGCTGCCTCACGGCACCGGATGACGGGACATTCACAACCCCGTTACTTACATCTGGGAGTGGTGGGTGGGTGGGATGGGGAGACAACCGACAGGCAGATGCTAAAGGACTTACATGTCACCTGCGCTTATGGTCATAATTTTCTGCAGGCCCCCAGTGTTTAGAAGATCCCGTGCATTCTGGTAGCTGTTCTGGATTACATTGTTCAATGTGTAACAGGCAGAGGCTGTAGTTTCAATGAGAAGGTCAGTACTTGGGACTGTGTCGGGAATTATGGAAACCAAATCAGGCAGCGTTTCTTTGGCTACAAAGTGAAAGAAAAAAAGAATCCTTGATTAAAAAGATTGTTCCTTAATCTAAAGATCCCAGTAACATTTTGGGTACAGAACATTTAAGAAGAAACATTTGGTTAACAAACATATGGAAAGATACAACCTCTCAAATCCTCAAATTAAAAAAATTGATTTTTAAAAAGATGGTTCTCTGTGCTCCGTGCACTGGAAGTCTTTGCAGAAAGCAATTTGATAGCAATGTCAAAAATTTTTTTTAAATTTTCACATTCTTTGATTCAGTATTCCCACTTCTGAGGATTTATCCTAAAGACATCGCTTTAAAAATGGAAAAAGCAGAGATCTTTATTATAGTATTATACGTAAATGAAAAACTATAAAAAGCTTAAACATCCCAACAGAAATATGATTAACCATAAAACATCTGCCAAGAATATTGTGCCTCCCCAAACATATCTATGAACCATGTATAATAATAAGAAAAATATGTGTTAATATTCTATGTGAAAAAGATCAGTGTGCTTATTTATATGAAGAATACATATTATTGTAACATTAGGGAAAAAATACACACAAGAAACCTGAGAAGAAATATGCTAAAATATTAATAGGACTTGTTTTCTGACAACAATGCTGATGGCAACCTAAAAGTAATTTTTAAAAATTACCTGTACTGTCGAAAGTTTCTTTAATGCAAAAATAACACTATTAGTAAAAAAGAGAAAGAAACTACTTAAAATCTATTTTTTCACTATGTCTTTAAGTTCTGGGTTATAGGGTTTTGGTTTACCTTTTTCTGTAGTAACAAGAGAGATATTAATATTTGATGATTATATTATAACCTGTCCTATAGTACACATGTTGGGCAATACGAATTTGCACTTGCTATTTTGCCAAAATTCGTCTCACGTACGTTTTCTTTTTTTGTCCCTCTACTTTGGACTCTCCTTGAAAGACAGAGAACTTGCCTCTGTGGTTCCTCATAGCTCTTTAATTCAGTGCTGTGTTTATCATGGTCGTACAGTTACGTCTGCCTAATTTTGTTGTTTCTTCATCTGAGTTCATGTGGCACCTTGAACTGCGCTGCTCTGACGTGTGCCTGTCTGAATTCCAAACGGGGCTGTGGGCTCCTTGAGGACAATTACTGCATTTGTTTCTGGCTCTCTGGCCGCGATCACTAAGCCTAGGACAGAGAGGTACTCAACAAAACAAACAGAGCCATACGCCCTCCTCTGGCAACACCTGGGTCTGACGGACAGGAAAGACCTGCTCAAAGGCCTGCACGCTTCCTTTTTTCCTGTCGTCTAAGCACCCCAGCATCGTGTTAGCTCGGAGCTCAGTCTCTGAAGATACACTTTTTTGGTTTTAGTCCTGTCTGCCACTTAACGGCCGTGCTATCTGGGCAAGCTACTGAACCTCTTCATGCTACATTTTCCCAATCTGTAAAATGGGATAATAACAGTATTTACTCCACAGGCTTGTTTTGAGGCATTAAATGAGTCACCATGTGCTGGCTGCACCACAGTGCCCAGCACACGGGAAGTTCTCCATAGACGTGAGTTATTATCAGAAGGCTTCCTCCTTTTAACAAGGTAGACCACAGAATGAAAGGCCTTGAGAACTGAGTTTTCCTGTCGCTGAATTTAGGTCAACAGCAAGAAAACAATGTGAGACAATCACAACAGAAAACGCTCAGTCCATCTCCCTGCAGGGCGCAGCGATGGCTGGCGGAGGCCCAGGTGGCCCACCCTGAGAACCCTCTCTGCTGAGAGACGGTCCCATGTCCCCTCCCTCTGCACAACCAACAAGAATGCCATTTCTACACACCAAGTTTAAGGCTGAAACTCGGGGTTATGTCTGAGGAGGAGTGAGAGTTACAGAGTGAGAGTTTTTAACACTTTATGCCTGTTTTTTGTAGAACAATAGTGTAAGTGTTTACATCAACAAAATTAAATACTGCAATGTGGTAAGGGAGGGTAATTCAGCCTCTGCGCGCGCACACACACACACACAAGACAGGAACTTTGAACTCCAATTATGTATTTGACATAAAGCCAACCTGGGACTGAAAAAATTGCATTTATCTTGTCACTTCTCTTCTACTACTGTCTCTTCTCACTACTGTCTTTAAAATGAGGGGAGGTTTATCAGTGAAACTGAAGGAGGAATCATAAAATGGCTGCACTTAGGCTAACAGACGGCTTATTCTTACGCTCGCCCTTAGAGCGGTCAACAAACCGGACCGACCGGTTGCTACCCACAGCTCCAGGCACATTGTTAAAACTGTATCTATTGATCTGACTGTTTCTACTTTACTCCAGTAATTGAAAGTAATAATCATGCTTGGTCTCTGAGTCGTTCTCCAGGGAGAAGGTCACAGGATTGTCACCTTACAAAATAGCATGAATTGCCAAGAAGACCATGCCTTGGGTGCTTACGAGATAAAGAGATGGAAAGAGCGACAAACACTAGCCTCTACAGGCCTGGTCCCCTGGAGGCATCATGACGCCTCTCTGAGTCTTCTGATGGGAAAACGATTCTGTTGATTGTTATCGATGCTTTATTGCTTGAGCTGTGGCCTATAACCACCCCACGCCATCCCCAGAGGGCTTCACAGTTTTGAAGGCACCACCCTGCTGGGAGTCCCCTTTGCCCGGCAAAGTAATAAAGCTGCCTCTTTTCTTCAAAGCTCCAAGACCCGGTCTCTGAGTTATTTGGCTCCTCCGGAATGGGGCCGATCTTTCAGCAACAAAATCATCTTACGTAAATTGTGGGGCTACCGCTGCACTGTCCCAGCAGGTGGAGGGCTGCAGAGCCTGACACGAGCATTTCCGCCCCGAGGGCACAGGCTGTAAGCAGCGCTCACTTCTTTTCTCATCAGCAATGTTTTAAAGATGGAGTCAACACTTCATTTGAAGGAAAAAAAAGCCAAAGGATAACAGACCTGAAGCGCAGCACAAAGGTCCGGAAAGACAATGAGGGGAGCACTTTCCTAATTTTGAGACTGCCTGTGGCAAGGTTTCTTTCAGACTCACTGAAAACTTTCCAGGCCCTCTGTATTTACAATGGGCTCAAAACCACTGTATGACACCACCTGTTCAATGCCGTGCTGCTGGCTGTCTTTGGAAATGGCTTTATTAAAACACAAGCACAGACTTCTGGTACTGGGGTGTGTGTGTGTGTGTGTGTATGTGTGTGTGTATCCCAAAATAATCCAATCCGTTAAAAAAGTTGTTATCAGAATTTTGTGAAAAACTGAATTTTAAGTTGTCAGAAATGACTAATTTATGAAGCATTAGGAAGCATGATTATTTTTAGCATTAGCTTTCTATCTGATCTCATTTTATAGTTTTTGATTTAATTCACATTCATAAATAAAATGAATGAAAATTTGTATTATTTGATAGTGTAACATAGTTATCATCTCTGTCTATAATACAGACTTCACAGCATGGGGAACTATATTCGATATCTTACAGTAGCTCATGGTGAAAAAGAGTATAAAAAAAATGTATGTTCATGTATGACTGAAGCACTGTGCTGGACACCAGAAACTGACACAACATTGTAAACTGACTATACTTCAATAAAAAATAAATTAATTAATTTAAAAAAGAAAAAAAGTCATACAGACTTCCAAAAGAGGAAGCAAATATTTATTCCAAAACCATCTATGTCAAATCTGCTCCATGCAGTGGTTCCTTCTTGTGATTCTCTGTCCATCCATTTTTTCCCTGGTACAATGGCCAGGCTTCTGAAGTGAACACCTACTGTGTGTGTGTGTGTTTGTGTGTGTGTTTGTGTGTGTTTAATGTTTTAGAAGAGTGGTGCTTACAGCAGGAGATGCAGAGAACATTCTGAAAGACACAGGTTAAAAAGACTTCACTGGATGGCACACCCGAGGGCTGAAAAATATCAAATATGTCACCTATCTTGTTAATTAATTTCTCTTTGGTAGTAATTAAAACAACAACAAAAAAGCTGGATATTAAGAAACATCCTGCTTGAGACCAGCGAGAAAGCCTACCCTTGACGCCTGGGCGCACAAAACCAGTTCTATATACCACATTTTGCTTTTAATTGACACTTTCAGCTCATCATTGTGGAAACAATGCGATAAGGACATTTTATGGCACTTGTATTTCCAATACGTACACATTACAACCAGACACACCGACTCACCAATTTCATTCTGCAGAGAAAGGTTCCGAGACAGATTCCTCAGCAGGGAGACGGCGGTCTTTTTCACACTGGGGTCACCAACATGCAGCATCTTCCGTGTGTGATGAAGGCCGTTCTCCTTCTGGACAACTGTCTGCGCCACTGATGCTGGCATCTGTTTTGTGAGATACGCCATGTAAATTCTACTGCATTTCACTTCGTGGGAACAGTAAGTTTCTGTAGTTACTAGAGACTGAGCAAGATGTCTTCAAAACTAGAGATATCTTCTTTGAACTCTTGTTAGGTTTTCCATTTAATTACTGTTAATTACAATTAATTTAATTACTATTACTAAGTTTATTCAGTATTTTTAAATAAAATATTAGGTTTGGCTAGTTACTACTTTTTGTGTGTTTATAAATAAGATAGGTTTGTCTTTTCATTCTTCTTATCATATTCTGCTTTTTATTCACATTTTCAGCTCATCATTGTGAAAGAGAAGGACCAACTGTTTTAGAATCAAAGTTGCACTAATGTCATAAAATTAGCTGAGTAAGTGTTTTTCCTTTTTCTATTTTCTTGGACTATCTGTGTAATGCAAGAATAATCTCAGTTTTGTGGGTCTGGTAGAATTTAGGTGTAAAGCCAGCTGAGCTGGGAAAAATTTTAAAGGGAGATGTCATCAATTATTATTTCAATGTATTTACTGGTTGTTGGCTTATTCACCTATTCTGTTTCTTTGTGTTCAAATCTTGGCATTTCACATATTTTAGTAAATATGTAAAATTCATCTCCAAAACAAGCCAGTCTATTCTGAAAGAGACACTGACTTTTAAAGAAAGCAATGTATGGCTAGTCAGACTGTCTGTTAACTCTATTCTCTGTACCAGAGGCTGCATGTGCAAGCGTCTGGTCCAGGTCTAGGTCCACCAAAGGCAAATCTTATGTGGAATTAGGCTGGCCGCCTACTCTTCCAGGGTCTGAGTACCATGCCAGGCAGGCCCTTCCTAGCATCAGCAAACCTCCAACAGCACTGGGGCTCTAGCCTGTACCTACAACTTTTCACATTTTTGTTTGAAGCTAATATGAGACTACCATGCCACAAATCCACGTATTCTTTTTATTAAAATTAAATTTAATTTTTTGAAGTATAGTCAGTTACAATGTGTCAATTTCTGGTATACCGCACAACGTCCCAGTCATGCATATACATACAAATTTTCATATTCTTTTTCATTAAAGGGAATTATAAGATATTGAATATAGTTCCCTGTGCTATACAGAAGAAATTTGTTTTTTTAATCTATTTTTATATTTTTTATATATTGTGGCTAACATATATTCTTTTTAAAATTGAGGTACAGTTGGTTTATAATACTGTGTTAAAAAATCCGTGTATTCTTGGCCATTCTCCAGGGTGTCTATTTTGTTTATCTACATGCTCCTTCTTTCCCCCACCTCCTGCAGGCTGCTCGCCCTCTGACATTCTCCACTGCACCTTCTACAGTAGCTGTGGGTTCTTAATACAGGGACCAGGATAGGTTTCCGGGAGGGAACAGGACATCCTTAAGATTACTCTTGTGCTCATTCTCTTCTCAGGGAAAGAGACCATAACTTCCATTAGATACTCAAAGTGCCCACGACTCAAAGAAATTTGATAACCACTACTTCAGGATGCCTGTTCTATTGTAAGCAAGTTACACTTTGCCTTTTACTAACTTGCAGAACATTTCCTTAGACCATTTTCTCTCTTCTGAGAAGAATCCCCCCCTGCAGCCACCTAGAGGGGAGGCTGCTTATTCTGCCCAATGCCTCGGCCTCTTCCTCCTCCTCCTCCTCCTCCTCCTCCTCGAGTCCATTAGCATCCCTTTCTCATCCCAGTGGCCCACCCAGGAAGGCCTTTCCCCTCATGCACACGCTCTGCTCCGCGGAGTCACTGCCATCAGCATCTTCTCTTTCAGCTCAGGGCCTAGTATATAAAAATGATCATTGGAAACATAAATGCTGGTTCACTGAGGGAAACAGGAGACGCCGGTGCGGAATGGTCTTCAGAATTTCCTCAATAAGGAAAACAACCAGATTTATCAAAGAGAGATTTTTATTCCAGCTTTAGGATATATGTGAGAATGACTATTAATTAGTCAACTATTTACAAACAGCAATCCTTGTTCGTACTGCCCTGATTACTAATGAGGGTGAGGACCTTTTCAAATATAGATAATAAAGCCATTGCTCTATTATCCTTTGTGAAGTGCTGTTCAAATCTCTTGTCCATTTTTCTACTGGGTTGTCTGTCTTTTTATTGTTAATGTAATAAATTCTTTAAAATTTCCTAGATATCAACCTTTGTTACTTATATCTTTACAACTTTACAAACATCTTTTCCTACTCTGTGGTTTGCCTTTTTTTATTGTTTTAGCAATGTCTTTGAAAGCATGATAGTGTAAGTTACTAACTATTAATTTAAATGTAGTAAGTTTATAAAATACTTTATGGTTAGTGCTTTTTGTGTCTGCTGTTAAGAAATCTTTCCCTATTTCAGATCACAAAGATATTCTTCTATGTTATCATTTAGAAGCTTCATTGTTCTCCCTTCACATTTAAATCTTATTGCTGTTGGAACTGATCCGTGAGCAAGATGCGAGGTACGGAATACACTTTGTTTTTTCCCAGTGGGTATCAAATTAAGTGGCTTTAAAGTGTTTCAGAAACTTGACAGAAACAGACTCATAGACAGAGAACACAAACTTGTGGGTGCCGGGGGGACAGGGGTTGGAAGGGACAGACTGGGAGTTTGAAATCTGTAGATACTGACAGGCGTATATAGAATAGATAAACAAGATTATACTGCATAGCACAGGGAAATATATACAAGATCTTGTGGTGGCTCATGGTGGAAAAGAATGCGACAATGAATATATGTATGTTCATGTATGACTGAAAAATTGTGCCCTACACTGGAAATGGACACAACATTGTAAACTGACTATAACTCAATGAAATAAAAATTTTTAAAAATTAAAAAAATTTAAATGTTTTAGAAACTTGAAAACTGTTTATTACAATCACTTTTAACTTCTACAATGTAATATTTAATTTTATGTGTATAACATAATAGATTGACATATGTATATATTGTGAAATAATTAGCACAATAAGTTTAGAAACAGCCATCACCACACATAGTTACAATTTTTTTTTCCTTCTTGTGATGAGAAATTATAAGGTCTACTCTCTTAGTGATTTTCAAATACACAATACAGTACTGTTAACGACAGTCATCACGCTGCACAGTACATCCCCAGGACGGATTTACACTGTACTAAGAGAATTTGCTAAATGAGTAAATTTTATCAATCCATCCTCTTACTTGTTTATTTTTGGTCTTTTTTTTTTAATAATAACCATTACACCTGAACTAATAAAGTTTATATTAAGGTAGTCCTACTGACAAGAAATGACCGTCATAATTACGTTTAAATTATAGACTCTATCTTTTAGGTGCTACTATTTAATTACTATTAAGTACTTTTATACTTAAATTATAGAATCTATCTTTTGGGAGCTATTCAGTTCTTTGCCATCTGAGGCACGAGGCCATCAAGGCTCCAGCTGTCTGTTATGGACACAGGTTGATGGACTGGACATTTTCTGCAACTATGTTTCACAGCCTATTTTCAAGTTTTTTTGTATTCAGTGATTCCTTTTAGAAATTACAAAAACAAGTTTTTTTTTTAAATCACACCATCTAGGCATGACAAAATTAGGAAAAGAAATAATTAGGACATAAATTGTAAGTCAAAATTTAAATAAAAAGCATCTCATAACTTAAAGGAACAAAGGGTCCTCGTATCACTGTCCCATGCCGCTAACAATTTTCTCCTGCAAATCTCTAGTTAAGTTCAACTCTAACAACCTTGATCATGGATTAATTCCAGTTTAATGTAGGTCTCCCTTCAGAGGACTGGACTGGTTTAAGGTTAGGTATGATTTTAAATGCCTTGCCGTAATTATAGCAGGAACGAAGGTATCTCCGTTGCTTGAGCTCCTTTTGGACTGGGAAGGCTCCTATTACCTTAGATTTCTGTCTGTGTGTTTGTTTGTTTATCCCAGCTAGATTATCACAAAGCACAGTGATTTTTGTCACATTCACCACTATATACGTGGCACTAGGCTAGTGCCTGCTGTGTAGTGGGTGCCCACAAACTGTTTATTTAATAAATGAATAAAGGAACTTAGGATCTGAGGAATAAGCTACATATTCAGAGTTTAAGTGGCTTCCTGTATGTTACATGGCAAATATTCCTGTATTCATAGGAACATGGAAACACCACTGGACAGCTTGGATTCCATGAGAAATCCTGGAATGGAAAAGGCTAAAACCCAGGCTTAGAGGGTTAGCTCACACTGAGCCATCCTCAGAGCGTAGTGAGCTTAAATATATACACACACTGCAATTTAATTTCTGACATTTTCTATTAAGTTGGCTGGCAGTAATAAGAGGGCTTCTGTAGTCTAGGAAAGTGAAAGAAATGGTTTTGGGAAACCAAGCACAGGGAAATGGGAAAGTATGATGAAAAATCTCGTCCCTGTGTCAGTCAGGGCTCCCTGGTTGTTCCCCATTTCTTTCTCTTTGTGCAGAAGTACATTTTGAAGAAAAACAAAGAAATTAAAGCTTGGTTGTATTCTTTTTTGTTTTGTTTTTGTTCATGGAGGTACTGGGGATTGAACTCACTCTACCACTAGGCTATACCCTCCCCCCAGTTTGGCTGTATTCTTAATGACACTGCTAAAACAAGATAAATACTGGTATCTTAGTATTTCACCATTTTACTCAAAACAGAGCCAAGTTTCTGTATAAACACATTATTAAAGAATGAACATAGTTTCTCAGATGCAGAACACAGAATATTTTTGTTGCCTACAAGAGTGTTACCTCTGTGATGATGGATAATTAGAGACTGGCCATATTATGAACTATCTGGGGAGAGTTTATTCTAGTCATTTCATGATCAAGGCAAAGATTATAAGCTTAGTTCAAAAATTAAATATTTCTAGATCCCCTTACTATGATGCCAGGTGTAAAATACACGGGGAAAGGAACATGTTCTTCCATTTTTTTATATTTTGATTTTGCTGGTATAAAGTACGTGCACCTGGAAAGAGAACTAGTTCTTTGTTTTGTGGCTGAATCTGTGGGACAGAAGAGCACAGATGTCCTTTCCAACTGCAGTGGACATGCACTGTTTCTGCTTTCCAGCACTCACTCTTCCTTTGGGTAATAACACTCTGACTTTCCACTAGGGAGCCACTCCTTCACCATTTCGGTCCATGGGGTACAAGTGGCAGTGATCCTCGTCCACCCAAACCCATGCCCCCGAAATTCACATGTGAGCCCATAACCCAGACCTGGCCAATCAACGCCACAGGCTCCTAGCCACAGGTGCTGGTTTGGGAATGGGCAAGTGAGACTTACTCCCCAAGTTCTCAATGGAGTTATTGGGAAAACAGTCGTTTTTTTCCTTTGGGGACACTGGGCTGAATCAAAGGTAAGCCTGAAATCACTGGTGACTCTCTTTATTGTAATGTGAGGACAGCCTTTGAGAATGAAACCAACAGAGGGAAACAGAGTCCAGAGACAGAGTCATAATTATAATCGTGGGGCACCTATGTCCCACCATGACAGAAGGAAGACCCACCCTGGACTTTTCAGTTATATGAGCCAAGGAATTCCTCTTTTTCGCCTAAGCCCGCTTAGGTCGGACTCTGAGACATGTAATACTCACAGATACCAGTAAGTCTTTCACTCACAGTCTGACTTGGCTTTGCAGAAGCCAAGGCTAAAAGTCCTGGGAAGCTGGAACTCTCTCAGGCAATTCCTGAGAACTGTTTTGACAGAGGCAAGAAAACCTGTTCTTTCCTCACTGTCTGAACTTAACATAGGTGTGCCCACAATGTCATTATTTTAAAAAGCAGAAAAACAGACATGGTACTCACCGGTCCACTTCCTGCCGTGAGATTCTGGAGCGCTCCCAAAGATGCTTCCTGCGTGTAGTTCCGGCCACTCTTGGCGATCAAGGACAGATACATCCGTATCACGATGGAGTGCCACAGCCACTCCACGCCCTTGGGGTTGCTCTTTTCCTCCGGCATCGGCATGTCCTGGTATTGCTAACCATACACACGATGAAATCCAGAATTAACACCTTCAAGTGATTTCTGCAATTGCACACCCAAACTGAGAGACCACAAATAGTCTTGCCTAGAGAGACTAACAATTTGCATGATAAGAAGCCCTCAGAATCAAAGTGAAAAGGCAAATACGTATGATTCCAATGACTTAACTTTTAGTCCATGATAACCACTTCTTCCTCTCAACACCCTGTACTCACAACTTCACATTTCACAATGAGAGAGAATGCAGAGAATTAAGTATAGACGGTTCTAGAAGTTTTCAGGCTGCTGTTAAGCTGAAATCTACATTAGTCACAACCGCTCTGAAGGTCTTTCCTGAGAGCCTTATGAAGTTGTCCGGGAGGCCATCTACATCTACCAGTCAAGTTCACAAGCACCAACATGCTCTGAGGAGCAGCGGAGGTCGCATCGCTTCATTTCCATGAAATTTCAGTATGGAGAGTATTCCTTCCCATGGGGTTTGCTTAAGGTGTCCACGTTTGCTTTCAGGACGTTCACAGCTGAATGACAGGGCTGCTTTCAATGTTAAGACAATGCTCTACCACTGGCCACGTAGCATTAAACTTATTTCCTAGCCTATAGGGCACAGAGCAGTATGGTTTGATGGCTAACAGTGTAAATCTGGGACCAGACTGCCTGGGACTGAATTCCATCTCCTCCACTAATTTGCTGGATTATTCTGGGAAAATTAACTAAGCTTTCTCTACCCCTGTTTCCTCATCAGTAAATGGAAGTATTAATAATACACACCTCATGGGGTTGATGGAAGGGTTCAAAGAACTTAAAACAGTGCCTGACGTATACCAAGTACTCAGAAATACACACAGCATATGCATTTATTCTTTCAAATCCCTCCCAATGTACCTCTTTGACTTTCCTGCTTCGACTGCCAAAACACCCGACACTTCTGTTGCTGTCTGCCTGGATGGTCCGGTTTTGAATATAGATACTCTGGGAGTATTTCTCGGGGAGCTCTGCCTCCAGCTGGTAGGAGAGGTTATGAAGAATGCACACACAGTTCTCTGTGGCCTGAGAAAACAGGACATGACCACTGATCAGACAATACAGAAATTCCTTTGCAGGTGCGACACCACAGGGCTTCGGGTTCACTGGATGTGACAGGCACACTTGGCCTGCAGGGTGCCTGGGGGAGGGAAGTGGAGAACGGCTGGGAAGGCTAGGGCTAAGCCAAAAATGGGCACGCGCACAACGCTAGAAAGTAGAGGCCAAAGGTTTTAAAACATCGGAGAGCCCTTCTGGTTTACTTTTTAAAGGGTGCTCAGAATGATTCTAAAAATTTAGATACATTCCTTAGCACTCATGTAGAGCTGGAAAACAGGAGGAGATATTTCTTACAGGGGCCAATCGGGAGTCGACTGCAACGATCAGTATGAAAGACGAACAAATCGGGACAGCAGCGGTGGCGTTAAAGAGGCGCGGTTACACGGAGGGGCATTGCAGACACAGAACGCACGTGATTCGCTGGAGTGGATGTGGGATGAGAGCGAAGGGAGCGAGTCCCAGGATTACTCAGATTTCTATTTTCATTTGGTAGATGGTAACAATTGTTAAGAAGGATTACACAGGGGGAGCAAGTTTGGGGATGAGGAAAGAGGTGAATTTAATTTCACTCCTGAATGTGTAGCATTTGGGCTCCTTTCAAATATCCACAGAGTTGTTAAACAGATAGAAATCTGGGGCTGGAAGATGGAAAGAAAAATGGGGCTGGATGGATTTTAATACTTACAAGCACGTATGGGAAATCTTAAACTCACCAAATGAATCAACGAACAAAGCAAACCCAAGCAGCTACTTTAAGAATACTCTAAAGCGTCTTAGTAAGACTCTGTAAGTAATTCAGTATGCGAGATATTTAACCCTTGATTTACCTTGTCATCTGGCTGGTAGTCGGCAATGGTTCCTCTGACATAATGGACCAGTGAGTCAATCAGTCCGTCACACCTTCTCATCACTTTCCTCCCTTCGGGGCCAGCTGAGCTCATGTTTCTATCAAGAAAAACAAACAAAATCATAAGGCTGTGGCTGTGTATCGAATAAGTTTTTGTTTCAAAGCTACTTCCAAGGGTTTGGAAAACTGGCAAATTAGTCAACATATGACAGACTTGTCCTGGGGTCAGTAAATCATCAATTCTCTTGATGGTCATCAACTCTAGACACAATTTATAACTATATTCGTAACATGTCATTGTGTCAGTAGAAGTCTTCTGTCTACTTCATTCCAAGCACCAAGATTGTAGCATTATTTCCTTAATCCTTACCCCATGTTTGAGAGGGTATAAATATATGAGAAAAACATTTTGCAATTAAAGACGAACAAATGTCACATTAGACATAACGGTATACTTAGATGTCCAAGTCCTATCTTGTTTTGTGCCTTAATTCTAAGTAACTTAAACTTACATACATTCTCTGGGCCTCAGTTTCTTCATTTGTAAATACAAGGTGTTAGACTATATTATTTGGGGGTTTTGTAGGTTTCAGCATAAAGTGTTATTGACAAATATTAAACCAAACGCTCTAAAATGTGATGATTCATGATTTTGTAATTAAAATGGCAGAGAGATGTCACAAAAAATGCAGAGTTTCACAGTATGTAAGACCTAAGTTAAAAGCATGACCTATAAATATCTTTGCACTTAGTCTATTTCTAATTTGGCTAAGCCAGGACACCTTTCTATAAACAGTGACTAAATCTACAAGTGGAGGTTGCTTCCTTATAGAGAATTGAAGCTTATCAAATACAGCAAAGAAATGCATTTGGGATCATGTTTCAGATTCAGGTCACGTTTATATTCTGGTGTTATTATGACTATGTTCTTTTGGATTAAATGTTCCTTGCCAACATTAACCAATTAAAATTTTTTTTTCCAAAAATGTTCACAACTCTATCAACAAGAACAGCAAAAGAACAATGCCTTCAGGTTTTTAGAGTTTTGAGAACCACCCTTATTTTCTTTTGCGAATTTAACTTGCTAAGAGCTATTCCTGTAAAATTTACCAGACCAGTTCCTTTCACTGGTAGGTAAAATATTCACAGGACAATCAAGACTTTTTGTGTATAATGTCTCAGTGTCATTCTGAACACCAAAAGAATTATAATTCTGAGAACTTTTTTTGTTGTATTTTCTTCATCTTTAAAATAATACATTGCACTAAGTGATTTCAAAAAGCCTTTCTGTCCCCTCCAATATTGCTTTCAATACATATGTCAAAGAACAAATACGCCCAGCATTATATTAAGAACCGCAGGGAACAAGGGAGGACCACCCAGGGAGATCACATCTATACGTGGAAACTGATAATGCTTGACCGTTTCTCACCTATGAAATGCAGTTTCACAATCCAGTCTAACTGTTGAGGAGATAAAACTAATTCATCTAAAAGTAAGGATATGCTAATAATTTAATGGTTGCTGAACTGACACAATGAATTTTTTATTGTAGCAAAATCCCTTCTGTGGCTGGTTTTCATCTGTTTCCAATGTAATCAAACACTGCCTTATTTTCGGCTGTACCTGAGACTTCAACCTTTGGCCATTAAAAAAGATAATGAATGGGCTCATAAATTATAAACAAAAACATTTTTACTACAGTTTTTCCTCAAGGAATGATCATCTGAACCAAGATCCTCTAATCTGCTCTCTGAGCCCTTTAAGACCACGGGATCTTCAGAAGCTGGACAAATCTGCAAATGCATCTTTTATGGTCTCCTTATTTTACACATGGAGACACTGAGGACCAGAGAGCTTAGGTTACCTTTCCTGGTGACGTTAAATTAGTGGTGAGGTCAGGATAGGAGAGCTGTTCTTTACTCTTGCACCCAGAGCGGCTCCTCTTCTAACATTCATTCACAGTTTAGCAAGTACCATCTACCCCTCAACTCCAAGACAATGTTATCATATTTGAAAGCTTCCCTTTGACCTTTTCAATCTCTGGCTTGGAGAAATGGCAGTAGTTTAAAATTGCTTTGACAAATCAAAAGGTCCTTTTCCCTGGCTAAGCCCACTACATACCTTGCAGATGGATGACTCAGCTTTGTTTCACTCCAGACTGTTTATTTTGGGTGAGTGGTAATTCAGTTTGGCAGTTCACACGCACTGACTGCTGTCTTGTAGTTTGGTATTATCCAGACTCTACTTGCTTGGAATAGGACTTATCAGGGGTTCCTGGCAGTTGATAGCTTTGCTGACAGAAAGGGCATGGAACCCCACTGCTTCAGTATTTGCCCTTGCATATCAAAAATACTTCTTTGCTTACTCAACTACCCAGAAATACCAATGATAAGGGTGGATTATTTTGTAGCAATACATCCATGAATAGAGGTCATGAGTCAGAAAGGAATTTGTTACTATACTGCTCTGAAAGTAACCAATAATTATTAGAAAATGACATATCCATCTTAAGGTATTTTTTTCCAACAACTAATAAGTATGTAGGAATCAGAGAACTAACATGGCTAACCTTTGGCAGAATTGATCCTTTTACACTTTATCTCCTGAGCCCTGAGAAATATTTATTTATAACTATTTCCTATATGTAGCCCAACAGAGGTTTAATATGGAAAATGATCTCAAAACTATACATGAAATACATCAAAACAATTATCTCGTTGAAAATTAAGAAAGGAGGGGAGGGTATAGTTCAAGTGGTAGAGCACATGCTTAGCATGCATGAGGTCCTGGGTTCAATCCCCAGTACCTCCTCCAAAGATAAATAAATAAACCTAATTACCTCCCCCTACTAAAAAGAAAGAAAAAAGAAAAAAAAAAAAGAAAAGAAAGTAAAAAAGAAAAAGCATATAAACCACAGTAGTTACTCAGTAAA